GAGCTGGCCAGTTACTAACTGCCGTCCTCAGAACAGCCCCGAGCGGTGGAGGGGGACATGTTCCACCCAGCTACGCCCCCACTGCCTGGGCGTCACCCACTGCCCCGCGGGCGCCAACAGGAGACACCGCCAGTCAAACCGCGAGCGCCAGCGACCACGCAAGAGACCTCGGCTCGATGCGCTAAAATCACGGACATCACAAAACGGGGTCTAAGAACTGATGGCCTATGAGACCCAAGGGGGTGTTCAGGGGGGCCGTCTATGTCGCTCCCTCGGCACCCCGAAATTAGCAAGTATGTGCGGGCCATCACTTTGAAAGTCAGGAGCTAATGAGAGTCTGGCTTTTAAAAATGCGCATCAGATGTTATCTGAAAAGTACTACAACAATTTAAAAATGAAAAGGCACGCTTAGGTTGGACAACCAATCAGCTACACTCGAGTGCCCTGCACTGTTCAGGTCGCCCATCGTGCATCACAGGCCGACGCCGTTCCGAGAGCTCACCCGTCCAGTGGGAACGGGCTCAGCGACCTGAGCGCGAGAGCAGGGGGGCGGGCAGGCCGGAGGAGGGCAGCCCTGCAGAGCGGGACAGCCTCACAAACGTGGAGCTCGGGCTGAGCCCTGAGCCGGGGGAGCCTGCCGGGGGTCGGGGAGGGGTTTCTGGGCGGGGAAGGGCAGAGACAAAGCAGGGAGGTGGGGATTGGCAAGGTGCGTGTGGAAAGCAGAGGAAGATTCAGAGGGGCCTGAGGGGGCTGCGTCCCAGGGCAGGGGGCTCTGAGGCCCCAGAGGGCCTGCCACCTGGGGTCTTCGGAGGCTGGCAGGAGGAACGCAGAGGGGAGGGAAAGGGGGAGGGACGTCCCCTACTACGGAGGGTCAGCCCAGGGGAGGGACGCAGGAGAGAGACTGGGCAGAGCTGCTGCAGGTATCTGGAGCTGCTCTGTTAGTTACCTGCACTCAGGTAAAGGGCGTTTAGAAACAGAACAGCACGGGCAGAGGGGCACTGGAAGCACACACTGAGGGGGAACCAACACCATGTGGTGACCACCTGGAAGCAGAGGGGGAGTTGGCATCAGTGAGACTCTCCGCCTCAGAGGACGGTGTCCACTGGTGGAACCGGGGCGGGTGGACGAGAAGATGTGGGGAAGACGTGGGGTGGCGGAGGCAGCAGCTGGTGCGCGCTGAGGAGGGGGCGGGCCCTCGGGGTGAGAGGTGCCGCCCACCCCCGGAGGCACGACCCTGCACCTGGGTCGGAGGGAGGCGCAGCCGTGTCCCCGTCTGCACCCCAGCAGATGTGCCCAGGGCGAGCGCACCACGTGCCAGCGAGTGCCGGGGTCGGGGCTCCCGGGGACGCGCCCCCGCCGTCACCCAGGGCGGGAGACGGAGCTGCAGCCTGAAAGCCCAGGGCTCGCGGCCAGCCGGCAGGGCATCTCCCTCTCCCTCCCCGAGGGCTCCGCGGCCAGCACTGAACGTGGAGCTTGTGGGCAAACGCAGGCACGCGGACTCTGAGAGTCCAGAGGGACACACTGCATCCTGCCGGGGGCAGCGCAGGAGGTGCTCGGCTCCAGGCTGCGACGGGGCGACTCCCCTCGGAGCGAGGGCGCAGGGCCCGGGCACCCTCTGCCCGAGGCCACCGGCACATCCCCGCCCGTGGGGCAGGCCCGGCTGACTCCAGGAGCAGCCTCCGCCACCTGGGCTCCCCAGGATGGAGACCTCACTCCCCAGGCCACAGGCAGACGTGGCCGCCAGGGCTGGTCGACGACAGAGACGTGACTGTGGTGTGTTTTCACCAGGCCAACGACCCATCTGCTTTCAGGCTCATAAACTCTCCCCGAGGCAGACGCCGGGCCCACACCCTGGCGGCCCTCCCCACCGGGACGCGGGGAGTGACCGCAGTTCCCAGGCTACCGTGGGGATAAGGCGCAGACCATCTATCAGCTCATCCGGCTCCGGCTGGACCCGCCTCAGGGCAGCCGCGAGCGATTCACACTGTTTACCGTGCCAGGCAATAAAGCTTAGAGACAGAGGACTTCCTGTCCTCCTCCGCACAGTGGGCCGCAGGGACCAGGATGACCAGCAGACAATCTGTGCACGTGGTACATGTCAGAAAGTCAGTCCCCAGGCTTACCACGCTCCCCTCCTGGGACGCGGGGACTCTTAACAAAATTTCTTACCCAGCGATGGCCTATCCGATCCCTCCCCTGCCAGGACCCCACCCCCTGTTCCTTCCCACCCTCCTCACCCCCCTTCAGCCACACCGCCCGCCCTCGGGGCTCTGCCCGCCTTCCTCCCCGAGTTCCCCCAGCCAGCCGGGCTTACTTCCCTCGGGTTCGTGCTGAAGTGCCATCTCCGAGAGACGCCCTCCCCATCGCCCCATGGAAAATGCCCATCTCACCTACCCACTCTGGGGCCCGCTTTACTTCCTCCCCAGCCTTCATCACCACCTACCATTGATTTCATTCTGTCTCCCCCCAAAGATGAGATTCACGGAGACGGCACTGGGAATAGTGGGTGGTTAACGGAATTCAACAACGAGGCAGCAGGGCGTGCCAGGGACCGTGCTGACACCCGGACAAGCAGTGGGGACCAGGACAGTTCGATCCCTCCCCCAGCAGTGTCTGGGGGGAGGGCAGGCCGGGGTGGGGACAGGTAAAAGGAGGACACACCCCGCAGAGGCCCCGTCCCAAACACTTCCCGCACAGTCAAAGCTCACGTCCGCCACAGGGGCCCAGGGCCTTCCCGAGGCCCGTGCACCTGCAGCTCCCGAGCGGAGGAGCTGGGACTCGGGCAGCCGTGTGGGCTCCAGCGCCGGCTCCTCACCAGGCAGACGTGCCCCACAGCCCGCCTCGAGAGGCCATGGCTACAGCAGCTGAGGGCATCACGAGACAAAAACCGCTATTTCAGTTCGCTGGCACTGGGGGGAACGTCACGCAAGGTGACAACGTCATGATGGCTCGTTTCCCTGAAGGGTGAGCCAGAACCGTCGGTCCGGAGAGGCAGGGGCTGGGGACTGTTTTACACGTAACCGAGTTTGAAGTGAGGTGAGCTGTGATGGCAGTTTAGGAGTCGCCAGCAGACGGAGAACTGAAGCCACGGCACTGCGTGAGATTTCCTAAGAGGAGGTCTAAAACAGGAAAGAGGGAGAGGGACCAGGTAGGAGGTCAGGAAAGGCAGGCGGAAGGGCCAGAAAGAGAGAGAAGACGCCAGGTGAAGGTGCCTTAGGCACGAGGAGGTGTCAGCCCCACTCACTTGGCTGAAGGGAGGACACTCCAGTGCCCACCGGAGTCGGGCGCGGAGGACAAGGCTCTCCAGTCTGACCGCCGCCTGCCTCTGCGGACTCGGCCCCGACCGACCCCACACGCGCGCCCCGCGCCCGACCCGGCGCTCTCCGTGCGGGAGGCACTGCTCCCCGCTGAGAGCACCTGCAGACGCGGCGGGCCGGGGCCCTGCTGGCACGCAGCGCGGGGGTCAGGGACGCTGCGCAGCAGCAGTGGTGACTGGGTGCACTGTCCAAAGCGCCCCCAGCGCCTCCCTGGCGACCCCTTGTCCGGCCGGAGCTGTGCGCAGCCCCAAATCTCTGGCGGCTGGCCTTCACCTGTACGCGCACACAACCTGTGTTCCCGCTGCTTCAGGGGCGTGAACTCTGAAAACCTGAACTCTCCTGGGATTCTGGTTGTAGCAACAGAAACTCACAAATTCTGTAAATTTTTATATGCCGTATCTGTTATAACAGTCATGCTTCAAAATTCCCCAATTCTAAGGTTTAGTGAAAAAACACGAGTGTTTTAAGTTCCAGGCACTGGAGCCTACGCCTCAGCTTGCTGACCGGCCCACGGGGATACCGGTCCCCGACTGTGCACGAGGCCCTCAGGCGCAGAGCCCCCGGGCACCCCCGGGGGCCGGCCCTGCCCCGGCAAAGACGGTGCCCAGGGATGCGCTCGGCCCTGCCCGCTCTCCGCCCTCGGCTCCCACCGGCCGCACCCTGCCGCCACCCCCGGGGAGCCCGCCCTGCCCGGCTGTGCAACACTCGGCACTCAAGGGCCGCGCACCCAGGACCGGACCCTCAGCCAGAGCTGCCGATGGGCCCCCCACAGACCACCGTGCCCACTGGGCACCTGCACGCCCCTGTGGCGCCTTCTGAAGTGTGGCGCATGGCCTATCTGGCCAGCGGGGCGGCGCGCTTTCCAAGCGCGGGGCACGGGTCTCTTCCATCTTTGCGTCTCTGCATCGAACGCCAAGGGGTCCAGAGACGCCTGCCTCGCCAGGGCGAACGCAGACTGAAGAAGGGTCCCGGCCTGGCCACGGGCGGTCTCCCAAACGCCAGCACCCGCCCCCCACGGGCCACGGACCACCGCGACAGCAACCAGGTAAGGAGCGCCACGCCATGCCCACGCAGACCTCAGACGCAGCAGCCCCTCCCGCAGGAGTGGCGGGCACGGCGTGTGCCGGGCTGGACGAAACGAACGTGGCCGCCCCCGCCGGCACACGAGGACACAGGTCACGTTTAGGAACACGCACTTTGAACCGCTTCCATTCTGCCTGGCGGGCCACTTCCCTGCAGAGCACCGCCCGGCCCTAAACTGCATGACTGATATCTTAGCCACTGCACTGCTCATAAGGAAGTAAATACATTTCACTAGCCAAGTCAAAGCCTCTGTGTCATGATTATTTCAAAGCGTTACTCTCACTGGACTGTCGCCCGGGAAACATAGAGCTATTTATAGTTAGCACGAAACCACGCGTCTCACCGAGGGCCCGAGAGCCGGTCGCCCCGGGGCCGCCTCTGCCGCACGCCAGGGGCCCGGGCAGGAGTCTCTGTGTGTGAGTGCTGGTGCAGGTCCCAGCAGAAACACCCCCAGACGGCCGCTGTTAAGTTATCAAGTGAGAACAGGTTCTGGGAATGCCCCCGGAGTGTGAAAACAGAAGGAAGAACATGAAGGCGGAGGTGGCTAGAGACGCCCAAGGCTCTGTTTTCTAGGGACCCCGGGGTGGGGACCGCAGGTACCTTGTCCATGTGGAAGATCAAATCCAACTCACAGACGTTCTCGAAACACTTATCCAGGGTCTCCACGAACACCTAGGGGACAAAAATAAATGGGTGAAGAAGAAAAATAGGGAATGCCCACGTCTTCAGAACTATCACATCTGGAGGTCAAGAGGTAGTCCTCATACCGTTTACCTTACGGTCAATCTCAAAATAGAACCTACCCCCATGAGCCGATGACCCTAGAGTCCCAGTTTTGGGGGGACAATCTAGAACAGGGCAACCTTTTGTTTTTCTTAAAGATGTCGCAGGCATGAAGTGAGACTGAGCCCCAGGAGAGCAGCCCGGCCCCCTGGCCTCCCTGCAGCCTCCACGGCGCTCACTCGTACCGCGGAAGCACCAAGAGGGCGTGAGAGCGCAGGCCGCCCCGACCCGTGCGGCTCAGCGGGCCGGGCGTCGTCCAGCAGAGCGGAAGGTGGACGCTTTGACTCCCGGTCAGGGCGCATGCCTGGGCTGCGGGCCTGGTCCCTGGTGTATATGCAAAATGTAACTTCTCTCCCTCCCTTCCCCTCTCTCTGAAAATAAGTAAATCTTAAAAAAAAGATAGCGATACAACGAGCAGACACACGTGGCCGCCTTCCCCCTGTGTAAGACGCTGATTTGCACGACATAACAACGGAAACACTACAGACACAGGGCCGTCACGTATGTAACACCCGCAACTGTTAGCGTGTGAACACAGTTCTGTCCTGCCGACCGCCACTGATTTCACAACACCGTACCCTGACCCACCCTGATTAACAAGATTACAGTCTCAGCTCTCCAACGTCATGCTGAAACAGCGGAGTGTACAGAGGATAAAGGCGCAGAATTCACTAAGTAGTGAATTCACTAAGTAGTGAATTCTGAGAACGAACACGCCCCGTAGCCAGCGTCCAGATTCTGAAATGGGACGTCACCAGTTCCCGGGACACCCCCCACTCCGCACGCCCCCTCCCACAGACCCCACCTCCAAAGGTGAGCACCCCAACTCCTACGGCCACAGCCGAGTTCTGCCCCACTCTCAGTGCACACGGACGGAGCCGCACGCTCACGGCTGTCTTCCAGTTGCTCTGGGTTTCCTAGTAGGTAATCTCATCTGCAAACATGACATGTTCTTAAGGCTCATGCGGCCAACACCCCATGACTGCCCCTTTCTCCTCAAAGCATACCTGTGCATTTGCTGGCATTCATTCTTTCCGACAAACTTCCCTTTGCCCAGTTCCGTAAGGTCTCCTGATGGTGTCACGCCTGGGCTTCCCACCCAGTCTGTCGGTTACTGCTGTCCCCTCTGCGGGACTCTCCCCGGCCAGGGGAGGCGTAGAGCCCACTTCCTTCGAGGACTCCGTCACGGTCTCCTAGTGTTATCGGGGTCAGTGCCAAGCACCCCGCACCACAGTAATTCCCGAACACTGAGTGTCCCCTGTCACTACGCTAAGTGAAGTTTCTCTAGCTGTTCTCACAGAACATTTAATTTTGATGACTTCATCTCATATTCTGCTATTTTGCTCTATCATTCATTACTTGTAATATTTAGTGCATTTTTCTTTTTAGGTTTTCTGGGTACATACTTAGGCCATCTTACAGTGATAACTTATCTCTCTTTCCTCTCTGTGTTATTTCTTCACTTGTCTTTTCATCACTCATTACAAGTATTTGTTCAACTCGAAGTGCACAGGCTGACACACCTTGTTTACACAAACTTCTGCAGGTCCCTCCCTGAGACGGCACCGCCTCTGGCTAGCGGCTCCAAAGCCAGAGCGGGCGGCCCCCAGGAACCCACAGGGGGCGACTGGCGGAGGCGCGCTGGGGAAGGAAGCGTGGTTTTCACTGCACACTTTTGGTGTGCTTTTTGAATTTGGGACACAAATGTATTATTTCTTCAACAATAATGCTAAATAAAGAAACCTGCACTCGATCGTCAAATACAAGTGCTTCCCGTTTCAGTTTCGGGAATATAGTTTGGGCAACCGTCTCCCTCGGCTCCAGTGGGAGGAAAGGAAACTATCAGCTTCCACTGAGGCGACTCTGGGAAAACACCTAAGGACAGGGCCCGGCTGCCAGGGGAACCAAACAGGTGACTAGAGGGTTGAAACGTTCAGTACCGCACCCCCCCCCCCCCCCCCCGCCGGAAGGGATCACTCGCCGATGGCTGATGATTTCATTAACTCTACCTCGTGATGGAGCCTCCACTAAACCCCAGAAGGGCAGGATTCAGAGCTTCCAGGTGGGTGAACCCCAGGAGGTGTGGGGAGAGGGGTGTCCGCTCCCCACACCTTGATCTACACCGCTGCCCCGTCTGACTGCCCTGTGTCACACCCTTGCATAACCCCCCGGCAATCCAGGAAGGACAGTGTTTCCCTGGAGAGTCCCGGGAGCGGCCTCGCAAACGCATCGAACCCGAGGGGGTGGCCACGGGAACCTCTGAGCTGCAGCCAGGCAGCCAGACGCGCAGGCGGCACACAGCCCGGTCCTGGGTTCGGTGTCTGCCTGCACACGGACAGTGTCCGAGCTGAGTTAGGCTTACGGGACACCTGGTCAGTGTCCACGGCAAGTGGAGGTAACTGCTTGGCGGTCGGCAGGGGAAACACATACCCTAGAACTGGTGTCAGAGCAGCGCCTGAAAACTGAGGACAGAGAGAGGGCTGGGTAGAAACCAGTGACTCCAAGCCCTTGTCACAATGTTTCAGGGTGGCTGAGGAGCGTTCCTGTGGCGCCACCTGGTGGACGCCTGGCAACTTTCACCAGCGTCAGTAAAAAGACTTACAAAAGGATCTAGCAGGGGTGTCCAACCTTTTGGCATCTCTGGGCCACCCTGGAGGAAGAAGAGTTGCCTTGGGCCCCACGTAAATACACTGTGACATGCAATCACACATAAAAACCTTAGCGTGTTTTAAGTAAGTTTACGAGTTTGTGCTGGGCCGCATTCACAGCCGCCCCGAGCTGCATGCAGCCTGCGGGCCGAGGGTTGGACGGCCCTGGTGCAGGACGGTCACCCGACTGTCCAGTGCTCACTCCCCGAAGCGGCTGCCGTTGGCTGACACACGTACCTGGATGAGGTCCAGGATCCCGAGTTCACTCTCTGACGAATCCACGCAAAACACAAAGTAGAGGGTAGCATAGTGCCGATAAATCAGCTTGTAGTCGGAGCCACCAATCAAACTGCGGAAGACGGGAACCATTTAAAGGCTTGCGTGTTAAACACAGCAAAGAGAAACCGTGTCCCGGGAGAACAGAAAGGGCCCAACGGAGAGGGGGAGGGTGGGCCGGAGAACAGGCCGGAGAACAGGCCGGGCAGACGCAACGGCGTTTGGCAGCAGTGCCCAATGCTGCCTCGCCTCCCCTCCCCTCCCGCCCGCCCGCCCGCCCGGGAAGCGCACGGCCAGCTGGGGAACACGTGACGCACGCCCAGTCCTCCCTCGGCTCCGGGGGTGCCGGCGCCCACCCGACGCGGCACTGCTGCCCCGAGAAGCGACGGTGATGAGGGCCACCCCCAAAGGGCACACACGGGGAGCACACTGGCGCCGATCGCTTACCTTCCGCCCTCCAGGAAGTTACAGATGTTGTCGTCCCGCTTGAGAACCAGGTGGAAGGTCTCCCGGACGATCTGCTGCTGGATTTCTTCTGGCTGCAGAGCGAAAGGAAGGAAGAGACTCAGCGAGAACGCCCGAAAACACACCCCGCTGCCGGAGACGGACGGGCAGCGGAGTGCCTCCCGGCTGGGAGGGCGCTGACCATGTGGTACCAGTTTCCAGAAAAGACGAAACTGGTGAGAAAAAATAAAAGGGAAGGCCGTGGGAAAATGGACAAGGCTCTGGTACAGAGATGAAGGAAGGGCACATTTACCTAGATACCTAGTCACTGGCCACTATCGCCCGGATGGGTGAGCCGACATTTCCTTAGTCAGTACCCAACGCGAGGAGAGCTGCCACCTCTCCAGCCAGGTGAGAGAGGAGCTAGAGGCCCGGCCCTGAGGTGTTCCGTCTCCCCCAGGAAAACGTCTGTCCCAGGGCAGGCGCGTCCACCAGTCCGACGCCTTAAGGAGATCGAGATGTGATTACGCACACGTTTTCAAACAAACTGAGCTTGCTTTTTGCTGCTGGTGATATAGGTATTACACTGAAGACGGCGCGTGCCCAAAAAAGTGCTACTGAGAAAGATAGGAAAAATTCCATTTACAGTAAGAATTTTGATTAATTGCAGAGCTATATTTTTTTTCACTTACTACATATGAGAAAGCTCAACTGTGAGGGACTCTCTTGGTAACTCACATTCGATTTATATACATATCGTTATATATAAATCAAATGTGAATGTGTGTGTGTACACAGACACACAAATCTCAGAGTAAGTCATTATGGAAATAATTAAAAGCTCCAGATCAGCGCTCTCAAATCTCAATAAATGTGCAATAAGTCACCTGGGCATGTTATTAAAATGCAGGTTCTGCTTCAGTCGGCCTGGGTGAGCCCTGAGACCGTTTCTAAGAAACCTCCAGGTGACACCGATGCTGCTGGTCTGGGGACCACACTTCGGAGTGGCAGGCAAAGCTTAAGAAAACCTTCAGACCAGACTTGCCCGAGAGTTAGAAAATAGATTCAGGAAGTGTTAATCCCTTTCTTCCTGCAGCATTTAAGCTTGAAATGGTTAGTTATCTAAAAGACATAGAGGTAAAAACGGGGAAAACGTCGTTGTGGAGAAACTATCTTTCATAACGTGGATTCAGCGTGGGAAGGCAGTATTTGCTGAACGGATGAATGGAAACTTGCTCATCACTGGCCCCTGTGAGTTCAAGTAAATCAGTCACTATCCTCCTGGTTTCCATTTAAAGATGCCAGGAGTTAAAGGGTTAACTGTGTACTCGGAAGCACAAAACCTGCTAAGCATCAGCACTTTTTTTAAACTGACCAAAACGTCTCCCAAACTAAGGCCTTTTTACCTGACTCTGGAGGGAAGTGGAAGCGGTCGGTGGGGACGGTGGGGATGTGGTGTGAAAGGGTGAGGCCACCTGATTTCTCACTCGCCAAAAAGGGAACCTCCCAACTATTTACAGACCTCAATTCTTTCAATAACCCCTCCTCATCTTTCAGTACTCTGCCCTTGGCAAGGTAATTTTCACTCATGAGCTAACTCGGTTCTTACAAAACTCCTACGTTCTCCAGAAAAGATCTACAGCTGGCAAATAAGGACGTGAACGCTGCTCGACATCATCAGTTACCGGGGAAACGGAAACCCAAACCACAGTGAAAACGCACCTCACACCCGCTGAAACGTCTTTAATCAACAAGACAGCGAAAGTGACTACGGAGGTGGAGACACTGGGGCGTGTGCGCTGCCGAAGAAAACGTGAAAGGGTCCAGCCACTCTGAAAAAAAAACCCGGGAGTTCCTCAAAACGTTCACCATGAAGTTACCACTTAGCCCTGGCTGGCGTAGCTCAGTGGGTTGAGCACAGGCTGGGAACCAAAGCATCGCAGGTTCGATTACCCGTCAGGGTACATGCCTGGGTTGCAGGCCATGACCCCCAGCAACCGCACATTGATGTTTCTCTCTTTCTCCCTCCCTTCCCTCTCTAAAAATAAATAAGTAAAATCTTAAAAAAAGTTACCACTTGACCCAGCGATTCTACCCCTGGGTATAACACCAAGAGAAATGAAAACACACGTCCACAAAATAGCTGGTAGTACATGAATGTTCTTGGCAACGTTATTCACAAGAGCCACAGGTGGGAACATCAACTGGTACAAGGACAAAACTCGTATGTCTGTGCCACCAAATGTATTTTGGCAACAAGAAGGGATGAGAAACTGATACAGCTATAGTTCGGAAAAACCCTGGAAACACACTGTGCTAAGTGTAAGAGGCCAGTCATAAAAGACCACATATCATATCACTCCATTTATATGAAATGCCCAGCATCAGCAAATTTAGAGACAGAAAGTAGATTAGAGGTTGCCTAGGGCTGGGGGACTTGAGGGAGAAATACCGAATAACTGCTAATGGGTAGGGATTTCTTTTCCGGGTAATGACAATATTCTAAAATTGTGCTGACAGTCCCATAACTTTGTGACCCTACTAATAACCACTGAATTATACATGTTGATAGGTGAACTGGATGGTCTCAATCAACACTTTTATAAAACAGGGAAAAATTCACACATATATACAAAAATGAGTAATTATATAGAATGCTGATGTTTTTATTTTGATATAGTTATTTAATAAAATGTAATCTAGCTTTTAAAAGTCTATGGAAAAGCATTCCGGACTCCCTGGCTAAAGCAAAAACACTTCGAGAATCTGCATATTTCCTCCTCCTCCTCCTGCGACTGAGTTTAAGCAAGACTAAAGTGGCTTAAAACATTCATGTTTGCAATGAGGCGTCCCCCTCCTCGCCCCGCCCCGTCCCATCCCTCACAGAGCCCTGAGACCCTGCGGGAAGTGTCACAAATTGACACAGAAATGCCGGGGTCCAGGAAGGGCCTAGGGGGAGCGGAAGCAGCGGGGCGTGGGGACAGCAGGCCCGACGCCAGGCCCGGCCCAGGGGAAGGAGATGAAGGAGCGTGACGGTCACGCAAAGTGCAAGAGCCTGAGATGGTCAGCGCGCAGTGGCCGCGCGAGCCGTCGGGGCCTAAGGGACGGGAGAGGACTCGGGTCCCCGGAAGGGACGTGACGAAGCTGGGCCGCACTCACGAAACGCTGGTAGAAGCGGACCAGCCGCGGCTTCCCGTGGTTGTTGAAAACCAGAATCGCCTGAATCATCTTCGCCGGCCAAGCTTCTCTCAACACTGTTATTTCTTGAAAACATCAGCTTCCGCCACAACCCGGACACTTCCGGTGGGTGCGCCTCTGAAAGTGGCCGGCGGAAACTTTCCCGGGCGCCCAGGGGCCGGACCGCGAAGAGTCCGCTTTCACGGCTCGCCGAGGAGAAGGCTGGTGAGGACATCGAGACCCCGAGGCTGGGGAGGGTAGTCACCGCGGCCAGCGTCGGCCGGCGAGTCGAGCCTGGCCTGGACGCGAGCCCGGATCTGTGTCCTTCAGCCACACCGACCAGTTTGCCAACCCCGGACGGGGCGCAGAGCCGGGCACGTGGGGAGGGCAGTTCCCGACGCAGGAACTCCTGCCCGCAGCCGCGCTCCAGCGCAGGGGCGGCGGGGGCCTTCTTCTATCAGCGTCTGCGCCAAAATATCGTGACCTGCTTTCCCGGTGTGAGATGCCAGCTGATTTAGCCATTCCCCAGTTGGGGTACATTAGGTTCATTTTCATTTTTCAGCATTCCATCCATGGTAAATAGTGAATGGTGGAATCAAGGCATCTCTAATGCTGTCCCATTTAAAAGGTACCAACCACCCCAAATTGGTAACATTTTTTTTTCTTTGCTTAATGACTCAGTCGAGGTGAAGTGGAGCAAGTCCCTGTATTGTAGATAGAGCTGCAAACTGGAATCCCCTATCCAAATGACTGCCAATATGTATCAAAAGCCTTTTTAAATATACAGAATACTAGACCCTGCATTTCCAGTTTTAGAATGTATAATAAAACAGGTGTGAAAAGATTCGCCTGTAAGAATGCACATTCCAGGAGTGTTATTACAGGGAAAAATAGGAAGCAAATTATTCCAAAATGAGACATTGGTTCTCAGATGCATCAACCCACATGCATCTGACAAATATTAAGTAGGTGTTAAAATTCAGGTAGGGAAAGGTTTACGGTATAGGACAATGTGTCACGACATGTCTGTAAGTGCAAAGGTTACACAGTATGTACAGGGACACCGCACATTGTAAAAACTGTTAGCAGGTACACCAAAACACGAATACACCCCTGTGGGGGGGAGGGTGGCGGCATCAGGGTGTCAGCACAGGCAGCTAGAACCACAGTGCTCTGATTCAATCCCCAACTCTGCTGACCGCCTGGGTGTCTCAGGGAAGTGTTGACATTTGTAAAACTGTCATAATGTCAGTCCCTTTTGCTGTAAAACTGAGGGTTTTCTACTTGAAAAAAAAATGTATTCAGGCAGCTGTTATGAATACAAAAAGGGCCTGCAAGCACTTGGAGTAATACATGGTGTACCTGAGAGCTACCTAGGTGATTTTTTAAAAGATAGTAGAATTATTTTTCTTTTAAAAAAATTTCTAAAATAAACATGTATTACTCTTATAGCCTGTTTTTTTTTAATTTTTTATTTGTTGATTTGAGCGAGAGAGAAACGTCAATTTATCGTTCCACTTCCTTATCATTCATTGGTTGCTTCTTGTATGTGCCCTGACCAGACATCAAACCTGTACCTTGGCGTATCGGGAAGATGCTCTAACCAACCGAGCTACCCGGCCAGGGCTAGCCAGGGTTTTTTAATTTTAAAAAATCCAGAGGCAGCAAATATGCATGGGAACTTGACAAAATGTTTTAAATGTCGAGAAGAAATATCAAAGAAAATTCTAAAACATAAGAATAGGGGTACCTAGACCTACCAACTATCAAAGCCTACTGTGATGGTACAAATTGACTTCATAGGGAGACCTATTGAAATATAATGGAGCCCTGGCTGGCGTAGCTCAGTGGATTGAGCATGGGCTGCGAACCAAAGTGTCGCAGGTTAGATTCCCACTCAGGGCACTTGCCTGGGTTGCAGGCCAGGTCCCCAGCTGGGGGCTAACGAGAGGCAACTGACAGATCCATGTATCTCTCGCACACTGATGTTTCTCTCCCTCTCTTTCTCCTTCCCTTCTCCTCTCTCTAAAAAAAAATAAAATAAATTAAAAGGACCAATTAATTACCCCCAAATGGGACAATACAGCTACTAAATGGTAGTCGATCTTAAAAACAATGGTTATGAAGACCAGGCAGCCACATGGAAAGGGATTACGTAACAACCGAAAAAGGGTTTTCAGCCCTGCTGGGAGGTGAGAGCATCCTCCAGGTGAACCAAGGTTGCGCAGTCGATCCCTGGTCAGGGAACAACCAATAAATGCATCAATATGTGGAACAACAAGGAAACGTTTCTCTCTCCCTCTTTCTCCCTTCCTCTCTCTCTAAAATCAATAATACGTTAAAAAAAAAAGAATGTGGACTTTGAATTCTGACTGCTGGGGCTCTCTCCTCTATCCACCTATTTTGGACGGAGCCTCTGAGCTTCAGTGTCTGGACCAAAACGGGGACAATAATCCCACAAGCCTCACGGGATTGCTGTGGTGACTCAGTTGGGTGTTGCCAGTTCTCAGCGCAAGTGCTAGCACCCAGAAGCACCCAACAGTCGGTGGTTGTCGTGAGAAGCACGCAGGACAATGCTCGACACATCAGGGGACTTGACGGTTGTTAGTCCACCACCCACCCCTTGTTCCCCGAGGCAAGCAAGATCCACAGGCCACCAAGCCCCCACCTGTTCTTGGGACACCTCCATTTCCATTCCAGATCTCTCCACACGTCCAGGGGAGGGCACACGCCCCGACAAAAAAACAAATGGTCTCCTGCTTACAGGGATCTTGCTTGGCCAGAAGACTGTTTATGTTGACAATAACCCGGTGCGTATAGAGGGGTCCTTTTCTGAAGATTTACTCGTTTACGAAAAAGGTCTCCAGGTACAAAACAACAATGAAAAAGGCGTTATCAAACATGAGGCCCGGCTGAGCGCAAGTGCGTCGGAGAGGTGGGGACCAGCCAGCCGCGCCTGAGCACAGCATCGCGGGGACAGCAGCCAGAGAGGTCCGGCGGCGGGAGGCCCCCAGGCGGCGGTGAACCAGAGGCAGCTTCAGGGAGAGAAAAGGGCACAGGGGACCAGGAGGACTGCGCAGGGCAGCAGAGACCGCAGCACGGAGCACCAGGGCAGGGCTGGGTGGGCAAGGGAAGCGGAGACCCGAGGACAGGAAGGAGGCCGCTAGCTTCTCCTCGGAGCCACTTTGCACATGGGTGAGGGACATCTCCCAGTTTGGTACAGAGACCAAGCCCAGTTCCTCCGAGTGCCCTGGGGCCCTCACCCACCACCTGCCTCCAGGAATGAGGTGGCTGCGGTCAGGAAAATATCTAGGCAGGCCAAACTCACATTCGGGGAGGAACCCTCTGTGAGCCGCAGCACCGCGCCCCACGGCTAACACTGCGGATCTGATCTTAGCAGGGCTGTCGCAAAGCGTGCTCCAGGGCGCTGGAGGGAAGAACCAGGCAAGGCCGAGAGGGCTGCCCCCTCGAGCTCTAGACTGGAGGTTGGTGGAGGACATTCTCAGCAGCACCGTTGAGCCTCAGGGATGCGGCATCTCCCAGAAGCTTCAGTCGTCCTGGGGAGAAAGTATAGAGAGGGAACAGAGCACGTTTCAGAGAAGTCGGAGAGTCATCGGACAACTAGGGCTCGACTGCCCGGCACCAGTGGGGCCCCCGGCCGCCTGCCTCGGCCTCCCCTCCTGAGAGGTGGTCCAGAAGGCCAGGCTGGAGGTGTTTTTCAGTTCAAGTCTCACTTTGGTTCACAGACTGGTGCTCAATCCACTTTTTATTTTATTTTTAGAGAGAGGGGAAGGGGGAGAAAAAGAGGGAAACTTCAATGTGAGGTTGCTTCTCATGCACCCCCTGGCCTGCAAACCAGGCATGTGCCTTGACTGGGAATCGAACCGGCAACCCTTTGGTTCACAGGCCAGCGCTCAGTCCACTGAGCCACACCAGCCGGGGTGAAGCCTCACTTTATTGAGACACAAGGGAATCCAGACCCTCTGCTCTCCAGGCCCCCCTGCTTTCTCCAGCCAAGGTCCTCATCTGCATTACTTAGACAAACAGCCCATTATTCTGCGATTTTGTTTTCAAATAGTCAATGTGGGGCCTTTTGACATCAGTTCAAATCTTGAGATGAAATATACTTTAGAAAAACATATCAGCTGGGAGTAGGCTGAGGTCCATGAGGGGTGCTGACCCATAGCAAAACAAAAACAAAAAACAAAACCAGAAACAGAAACAGACAACAAAAAAAATTTTTGCTAAGAATGAAGCCGTGAAGCCGTCCATCTCCCAGCCACTGTGGGCAGGGAGCTCGGAACAAGGGAGAAAACCATGCTATTCCTTTGCTCGACTGCCTGGGCATGGCTAATGCAGTCTCGACAGAACAATATTTGGAGACTTCATATGAAGCCACGTTGGTCCCCTCTGCTGTCCCTTCTTCCTGTCCCTTGCTTTTATCAATGTCTGGGGCTTTCTTACAGATTGGCACAGCTCAGACCCACCGAAAAGAAGGGTCCTGGATCATCAGTTCCTTGAAGGAACTTTCCCGGCGCTGACACACCCTCAGGAATGCCTTGGAATTTCTCCGGGGCTGGGGGGGGCGGGGGGCAGCAGTCAAGTTTACGCCGCTCTCTCCTTGTCCTACGTGCAACCACCACCACTTCGAACAAAACTCCTGCCAAGAGACAACCCACGCCAGTGCCAGTGCCAGTGCCAGGCCCACGGCCATCGCCCTTGACCTACCCACTCCGCGTCCTCGGCCCCGTCCCCCTGCTCGCGGGTCTCCGCCGCGGACGCCTGAGAAGACTTCCGGGCCATGATGTTGTCCGTCCAGGACGCCCCTGTCTGTCTGTCACCGGCGAAATTACACTTGGTCACTGTTCCAGCCTCGAGTTTGGCTAACGAATCTGAAAGGAGGGAAGCAGCTGGGTGGCCTCTCTCCCTGTGGTGGAAACCCAGCGGGGGCTGGCCCGTGCTCCCGGGGTCCCTGAGGCCTGGGTTAAGCCATTGTTCTCTTCAGGCCTGGGTATGGACCTCCGGGAGACCCAGGGTGGGACCCCCAAGCACCCACAGGAACCATGGTTTGGGGCAGCACCCAGGATCCAGGGTGCCTCGGGCACCCATCCAGGGCCTTAGGAATACATCGCAAGGGGCTCTGCCCCCGTGGAGGCCAGACCCGGCCTGGGCCCAGGAGGTCTAAGCGGCAGGGGTCGGAAAGCCTCCCCGGGGGTGCCAGGAGCCCGCCGGGAGGGCCGCACCACTCACCCAGGAACGGGCCATCGCCCCGCGTTTTCAGCCGCACGCCGGCCCCCAGCTCCAGCTCCAGCGCCTCCATCTCCGACTCGGGCATCCAGAAGGCCACGGTGTGCGCGGGTGCGAGGCTCTCCGTCAGGGCCAGCAGCTCAGGCTTGTCCACCAGCTCCTTCAGGGCCTCGGGCGTGAGTCTGTCCGTCTCCCCCTTGGCGTCCACCTCTGCGGGCGCACAGCACGAGAGGGTCGGTCCCGCGGCAAGAGCGGCGCCCGGTGGGGGGGGGGCCTCGGCCGCCGGGGCGGGCTGTGTGTCTTCTGCGCTCCCAACCCTGCCCGCCCCCCACCCCCACCCCCCGGAAGGCAGGGCGAGAGCCCACCCTTCCAGGGCTCGTCCAGGGGCAGAGGTGGTCCGGCGTGGGCTCTGGGCCTGGCTCACGGCGGAGGCTCGTTACGTGTTCTGAGAATGAGTGAGCCACGGAGAACACGAAGGGACACCCCGGCAGAGGCAGGGGTGGGTCCCCGCGCCCCCTCCCAACCTCCTCGCACGGGGGCAGGCAGCAGAGGTCCTTCTGCCACCAAAACCGGGAAGAGAAAGGCAGTCCCGAGGGGCCCAAGCGGCAAATGAGAACTCTGGCGGGAGCGTGGAGGCCAGCAGGGCCCTGGCCTGGGCTCTGCACGAAGGCAACCAGAGCCCTGAGCCTCGATGGTGGGCAACTCTGCCGGGCTGAGCTGGGGCGCTGGGATCCCGCCCTCTGAGTGAACGGGACCCAGGAAGGAGTCCCGCCCGCCAGGGCTGAAAAGACACTTTCTAGGGTCCTAGAGACCCACCGGGGCGACCAAGGCAGGCCGAGGTGTGGGCGGGACGGAGGGGGAGGGGCAGAGGCACCTACTGTAGGAGGACAGGAGGAAGCCCGTGTTCACCTTCCTGGTGGCGCTGAAGTTGGGCTCGATTTCGTTCCCCTTGGGGTCGAACTTGCGGCGATGGATGAGACTCGGCCGGACGTACAGCACGTAGTAGCGCTCCTGGGGGGGGCGGGCAGAGAGAGTGAGGGGGCCCCACCCTCCAACCAACACACACACATACACACACTCACACACACACACACACACACACACTCCCACAGGGCTGCATGCAGCCCTCCCCAACCTCACTCTCTACCCCGGAGCCCCCCCCTCGGCTCCGAAGACATTCAAGCCGCACAGATCCCCCCCGCACACAACACACCTCCTGCCACCCCCTCCTCCCCACCCAGGCACCCGTGCGGGTCCAGGTCCACAGCGGTGACCCGCTTCATAAAAACACAACATTCCAGGATGTGCGGCCACACAGAGTCTTGTCAAAAGATGAGCCAGCCCTGGCCGGGTGGCTCGGTAGGTTAGAGCATCATCCCTGATACGCCCCAGGCAGGGCACGCACGAGAAGCAACCAGTGAGTGCAGCAGCAGGCGGAACAACAAGTCGATGTTTCCCTCTCTTCTCTCTTTCTCCCTTCCTCTCTCTTCGATCAATCAGAAAAAAAAAAAAAAGATGAGCGAACCCACACCAAGAGATCTGCCACTCTGCAAACGCAGTTGCTCCAAAGCTCCTTCTAACAGCCAACTTCACTGGTGCTTTTAAAGTAGTTCAACTGCAAAACACTGAAAGTGTCCAGGACTTCCTGGGAACCCAGCTGAGACCCGGAGAGGGGAAGGTCACTGCTGACCCTGCACCCACACTGGTCGACGACACCCCTTGTCCTTCAGGACCAGCAGGGGGGACCACCAGACCCGCGGACAGGAGACTGAGCCCACCGCCCTTTCAGAAGACTCGCTCATCCTGCCCACCCCAGTGAGGCACCCGGCACCCTAGGCCTGTTCCGTCCGAAAGCCACGGGACCTCTGCCAGCCCACCCGGCGGCCCCTTCAGGCTGCTAGTCTCCCGACCCCCCTGCCCAGGGGGCCCCTCAAGGAAGAGCTGGACCCCAAGCCTTGGCACTGGCTCAGCCAAGCGAAGAGGACATGCCATGGTGGGTGGGGACCGTGAGGCCGGTGAGTGCCTGCTCCTGTGGGTGCCCCCCGCCCCTGCACCCTCACCTTCCTGCCATTGGCGTCCAAGATGCTGTGCCGAGACACGTCCAGCAGTTCCCCCTCCAGCAGGACACCGTTCCCCCTGGGGACGAGAGCACAGGGAGGGGTCAGCCGGTTCTGCCCGGCCTCAGGGAAGAGCCACCACCACTTCGATGGCCCACATCAGAGTGTGCGCTGGGACAGAAGTGACTCGTGTGTGCATCAGCAGGCCTGGGAGGGAGCAGCCCCCTTCTCTGCACTCCCCACAGGGGGCCTCCGTTCCTGTGAGGGTCCCAAGGGCTGGGGCGCTGCCCGGGGGTGGGTAGGAGGGCAGCTGGTCAGGCTGCAAGACCAAGCCGAGGCCTCTCCTGCAGAGAGTCCTCTACCCAGAGCTTCCGTGTTCTCATCTGCAACGTGGGAGAGTGACAGCTGCATCACTCTGCTTCTGCGAGGGTGACAGAAGACCACATAAGTGAAGGCGTTTGGTAAACTAGTCAGTGTTGAATACACAGAACAGATTTTAGTTGTTTATTTAACCGAAATGAGGAGGGGGGGGTGTCTACATGGCTACAAAGTATCTTTCCTGTTTTAAAGTACTTTTCTATTCCTGTTTGTCCCAGCCCTAAGCTCACAGCCCCCCCTCCCCCCCCCGCCCCCCACTGAGAGGAGCTGGGCCACACTTCCTGGTTCCAGTTTTCATGAGAGCAGAACCCGTGGCCTTCCTTTCCTGGAACCACAGAAATGGGAGAGGAGCGGGGACATCCCCTGTCCACGGGACGTACCTACGTGCTCCTAGCCACCCCCTCGACCCTCAAGCCCTCGGTGTTTGTAATTGCAAATGAAGCGAACCGTTGGCTCTCCCAACATCCAGGCCCCGAGGGCCGCTGGTCTGGCCCTCCCACCCCACGGCTACCCGCCCCTCAGCCCTGTCACCTGCTTCCGGCCGTAGCCTGACACTGTCCCTTCTTGGGGAGGGGAGTTGTGCAGCTAGTGCAAGTGGCGGGAGTTCACAGCCCCAGGGGCGGGGTGGAGACAAAGGCCCTGAGAACCCAGCTCTGTCCTGGGAAGCCTGTTTGGGGGTGGAAACCTAGCCCACTCCGAAGGGCTGGAGAGGGAAGAGAGCAAGGGCGTTTGCAGCTATGCATCGGTGTCGTAGTAGGTGCGACACCCGGGGCTGCAGGGTTAGGGTTAGCGCTGGGGTCGCTTTGGCATCGCCTGCCTGTCCTCCCACCCGCACCCGGGCGGGCGCGCCGGCGCCCTGTCCCCAACCAGGCGCCCGGGTTCCCAGCCGGGCGGGAGGCTGGGCCGAGGCACCGCGAGGGACTGGCCGGGTTACCCCTGGTGGGCGGCGGGCTCCCAGGCCGTGCTCAGCCGTGCGCTCCGCACCGCCTTGTTCCGGAGCGCGCTGTCCTGGTAGATGCGGCTCATTCTCCGCAGGCCGCTGTGCTGGGACCCGGGACACCGCGAGGGGACGCGCTGGGGAGACGCGCCACCGCTGAGCCCGGGAATCCGGCTGCAGATCCGGGAAAGGCGCGGTGGCCCCGGAGTTCCTGGGCGGGACTTAAAGGGGCCGGGCCTCATTCCTGCCCGCGGGAGCCGAGGAGGGAGGGGGCTTCCGGGAAGACCCTGGGCTGGGGCTTTAGCGCTTCCAACCCTTCCTCTCCCTCTCCCTATTACAGGACAGAGACCCCTGCCCCGACACACGCACAGAGGAGAAACAGGCCCAGGGATCCTATAGGATCAGCTCTGAGAGAATGGGCTTCCAGAGAACAGGAATGGAGAAAAGGGAAAAGCCTTTGCGTGTGCGTGGGGGGGGGGGGCGTGATGACCACCGAAGCTGCCCTTTTGCTGCGTCCGAAGTCCCACAGTGACAGTGTCCGAAGTCCCGGTGACAGAAGGGCCTACGCTTGGGTGTCAGATCAGGGACTTACCGTGGTTTGGAATTCCCCAGGCAGTGAAACTTTTATAATGCAATAGCAAAAAAAAAAAAAAGAGAGAGAGAGAGAGAAAGAAAATAGCTCGATTGAAAAATGGACAAAGACCCTGAAAAGCTCGTTCTCCCAAGAGGACATCAAGTGGCCAGCCGTGCATGCCAGGCTGCTCCCCGTCACCCAGCATCAGGGAAAGGCAGCCCCGAACCGCAATGAGGTACCACCGCACGCCCGTCGCCGGAGTGGCCGCGATCCACACGGCCAGTGTTAGCGGGGACACGGAGAACGGGGAGCCTCGTGCCCTGTGGGTGGGGGTGTAACGTGGCGCAGCCGCTGTGGAGAACGGTACAGAAGTACCTCAGAGAATGAAAAATGGAACTGCCTCCCGACCCAGCGATCTCCCTGTTGGGCGTTTATCCGAAGGAACTGACATCAGGGCCTCGAAGGGAGAGCTGCACGCCCGAGTTTCTCGCAGCGCCGTTCACAATAGCCACGACGCGGCATGGATAAAGAAAAAAAGTGGCGTATGCACACAGTGGAACACTATTATTTGGGCCTTAAATGAGAAGGAAGCCCGGGCACATGCAAGAACACAGATGAACCTGGTAGTGGAAGAAACCAGACACAGAACGAATACTGCACACTCCTTTGCAGGAGGAATCTGGGATTGTCAGACCCACATGATTTTAAATGTGCTTTAAGAAACAAACTCAAGCCCTGACTGGCGTAGCTCAGTGGATTGAGCTCGGGCTGTGAACCAAAGCATCGCAGGTTCGGTTCCCAGTCAGGCCACATACCTGGGTTGCAGCCACGGCCCCCAGCAACCACACATTGATGTCTCTCTCTCTCTCTCGCTCTCTCGCTCTCTCTCTCTCTCCCTCCCTTCCCTCTCTAAAAATAAATAAATAAAATCTTAAAAAAAAACCCTCAAAAACTTCCCAGGCTGGCCGTCTCGCCCGGGCTGGGGTTCCCCCTCCTGTTCCCCACCGTGGTGCCATCTTTCCCCGGAAATGGGGCCAAATCACTGCTGTCTTACACGGTAACCACAAGCCACAGGTGGCTACTCAGATTTAAATTTTGATTACTTGAACTTGCACCCCATCTTCACAGCACAGTCAGCAGACCAGGCACCAGCCTGGAGCAGCCCTGGCTGGTGTGACTCAGGGGGGGTGTCATCCAGAAAGTCAGAAAGTTGGGGTACAGGAAAGGGCACATGCGTAGTAGGGGGTGGGTTCGGTCCCCCTGAGAGGCAACTGACCGATGCTTCTCTCTCTCTCTGTAAAATCAATAAGCATGTGCTCAGGTGTGGATAAAAACATTAACTAATTAAATAAAAAGCAAACCCTATTTGAGAGGGTTTTGATCATTATTCCCTAAAATGCATGAATCATCGTGAGTATAAAACAGGACGTTCTTGGAGTTTCTTACACCTCTCTGTAGATTTCTGCTGTCTTTCTTTTCCGTTGTAAACCAGAGGGCCCCGGGCCCCGCTGTCCCGTGCGCGGGACTGGAGACGCCCGATACTGTGTTCGCCTGGGCGCACGGCTCTCCCGCGTTCTCACAGCCAAGGCACTCTGGGTGTCGTCCATTAAAGCCACTGTCTCTTTTTGCCTGGAATTCTTCTTCCTGTCACATCCGATGACGGAGGGGCGGGTCTGAGCGAGGGAACATGGACACGGGACCCAGGTAGTTTGGGTTTCATGGAACAGGTTTCCCTGGTCTGGAATCTCTCCCACCTACAATTCCGTCTTTGCCTGCTGTGTGGGCGTCGGAGTGACCTAGCGCCCTCCGGGCCGACTCGCCGGCTGCTCGGCACAAAGCCTGGGGCACGAAGGGGCAGGGCCAGGGAGACCCTGTCACCGTGGAGACGTGTCCTGCGGTGCCCGGCGGCACGGAGACGGTGTGGGGACTTGTGGAAGGAACAGGGCGGGAAACATAAACAGCCAGCCACTGGTGCCAAAAACCCTTCCCCTTCATCAGACAGGTCAAATTCTAACTGGACAATTTGGTTCTCATTGACCTGTGTCAAAATCGAAGCTTTTTCAGGAACATCCTTGCTAAAGCTGTTTGTATAATTGTAAACACATCAACATTTATTTTTCTCTCTCTTTTTAAAGATTTTATTGATTTATTTTTAGAGAGAGGGGAAGGGAAGGGGAAAGAGAGGGAGAGAAACATCCATGTGTGGTTGCCTCTTATGCGCCCCCTACTGGGGACCTGGCCTGCAACCCAGGCATGTGCCCTGACTGGGAACTGAACCAGCGCCCCTTTGGTTCGCAGGCCTGTGCTCAATCCACTGAGCTACAGCAGCCAGGGCTTATTCTTCTCTTTTGCTGGGCGTTGGGCAACACAGAATTTCTCAGCACCCAGGCAGGGCACAGACACGGAAGCAGAAAACAAAGCAGGAGCCCACGTTGCGTGCAGAGTCTGAGGTTTCACGCACGAGATCACATCGTCGCTTATCTGACACATCTTATCTTGACCGAGCCTGACGGTTCCAGAACCGGAGCGCCCGATTGCCACAAACGCCGAGCACTGACCCGAGGAAAACACACACCCACGCCCGCACACACGGCACAGAGCCAGAGACCCGGAACAAAGGAAGCACTCAGGAGGGAGAGCGTGCCGTAGAACAAGATGCCAGAATACGGACGAAACCTATCCATCATGTGACATCGATAAATGCAAATGGGGCCGGCTCTGTCTGCAGAGGAAATCTGTCATGCGTCTCTGCATCAGACATCACTTCACGCCGCATCAGGGCGTCTCGTCCTCGCAGGGCCCGTGACAGGTCCTGTCCCAGCCTCTGCGTCGCGGGGACCCGCTCTGCTGGGGTTCCGAGTGTCTGTCCGCAGAGGCGGAGGCCACACCACGCCCCTGGCCCCCTGAGACAGCTGGCCCCCAGGGTGCTCCTTACAGCGAGGACAGGGCTGCAACATCAGGCTGCCTATTGTTCCGATGGCAAAAGGGACATTATTGCTAGTGGCAACGGGGTGGCGATAAGCGTGGGTTCGCGGCATCGCAGTTGTTGGGGCTTCGTCGCTGGTGGCTGGGGGTGAGGTGCCGGTGAAGTGGAGCTGGAAAGAGAGTGCCTGCAGCACTGGGTCTGCGTGGGCGCCACGGACGGGAATGGTAACAAGTGTGCAGGGAGCTGCCTTTGATTCACGGCACAGGAAACCTTGCTAAAAAGTAAATGACAGGAAAGCCCTGGCCGGGTGGCTCAGCTGGTTACAGCGCCGCCCCGCTATGCCAAGCCTGCAGGGTCAGGGCACATACAAGAACCAGCCAGTGGCCCTGGCTGGTGTGGCTCAGTGGATTGAGTGCTGGCCTGCAAACCAAAGGGTTGCTGGTTCGATTCCCAGTCAGGGCACGTGCCTGGGTTGCAGGCCAGGACCCCTGTTGGGGGCGTGTGAGAGGCAACCACACATTGATGCTTCTCTCCCTCTCTTTCTCCCTCCCTTCCCTCTTTAAAAAAAGAAAAAAAGAATCAACCAGTGAATGCATTAGAAAGTGGGGCAGCAAAGTGATGTCTGTCTGTCTGTCTTCTGTCTGTCTCTCTCCCCACTCCTCAAAGACAGGATCAAGGCAGCGAACAACCAACTTAGGGACAGACAGAAGCCACGGAGCATGCGGCAGTCCTTGAGCAGGCCCAAGTCCCCTGCAGCTGCGGGGCAAACCGCGCACAGTCAGGCTCAGCCGCTGACGGGGAGGGAGACAGAGCGGCCACAGGAGGCTGAATGCGCGGCTTGGACGAACGTCCTGCCACATTCAGGCCCCCCCCCGCCCCCGGGGAACTCCAGGACCCCAGGATGGGGACATTGGGTGGGTGGATGAGCCCAAAACCCTTGAACTCCAGACTCCTCTGCACTCTCCCGGCCAGCACGAGCAGCCCCTCCTCTACTCAGTGGACAGTGTGGGGACCTCACTGGGGGTAGACGACTTTGCAGGATGCCTTTCGCCTAAGACCCGCCGCCATCACCAGGCCAGCAGTTAGAATGGTTTCTCACTACAACCTGTGGGATCAGGTTGCCCACCAGGGGATCGGGGGAAGCCCCGGGGTGGTGGGTCTGGGGTGAAGGACGGGGGGGGGTACAAATGAGGGTGACCGCAGAGAGTGTGTGGACAGGGCCCCCCCACCTCAAGGTGGCCTTCAGTCCTCCGCAGGTTGGAAATATTCAGAGAAAAAGCGTGACAGAGGGTGCTCTGTGGCCAGGCCTGTGATGGCTGTGTCTGTGCTGAACATGTACGTACAGACGTCGTTTTTGGTCATTATCCCCGAAACCGGGGGTGTCCAACCCGTGGCCCGTGGGCCGTGTACAGCCCAGGATGGCTGTGACCCCAAACACAAAATCATGAATTTACTCAAAACATCATGAGATTTGTGCTGTCTGTTTTCGTTAGTGTTTGTGTAGTTAATGTGTGGCCCGAGATAACTCTCTTTCTTCCAGTGTGGCCCAGAGATGCCTGAAGGTGGCACACCCCTGCACAGGATAGCGTCACAACTACTTACACTGCATTTGCATCGTCTTAGGTATTCTAGGTAACCCAGAGACGACTTCAAGGAGGCAGGAGGAGGAGCACGGGCTATAGGCAGACACCGCACAGTTTTAT